GTGTGTGTGTGTGTGTGTGTGTGTGTGTGTGTGTGTGTGTGTGCGTTTGGGTGGGTGTGGAGGTGGGTGTCCATAGAGTGTGTGGAGCATCACTTGTATCATGACCCGCACAACTCTCGAAGGTTTAAAAATAAAGTTCTGGCTGCTCATAAATGAAGAGTCTTTTTAATTTTATCGTCGGAGTGAAATTGTCAGCGGGATTTGTGTGTGTTAGTTGTTTGCGTCTTCGCAAAGTCTAGTATTGAATCCTGGAGCGGCATTATGCAGTTGTTGACTTTTACAAGCGCCTATCTGGCTTTGATTTGCGTTGCAGCAGCATCACAAAGTCTCAACCCTGTTATTGACATGAACAATGAAGTCACATTTTTACAAAAGAAATGACTCAGCTGGCCAATTAAAGCAAAGATCCGACACAAAGAAGCATCCATACGAAGTGGGAATATGTCACCATGCAAGGCCTCGTAATAATAACACTGCTTTGTCCTTCTCTTTATTGAAATGAGAATAAGGCTTTTCAGTCTTTGTAGTCGAAATGTCTCGAAACTCTTCACCGCAAATTAGAGTAGGTGAAGGAGGGAGGGTTTGAGATTTGGCTCTAAAACACACAAAAAAAATGCTTCTGGCTTCTGATAATAAAGCCATAAATGTGTCAACAACTCAGGATGACCCTAAAGTACCTCTCTGGTCATTAATGAAACCCTTAAAAACTCTCATCTATGTATGAAAGTCACACATTTAGAGGCTTTTCTGTTCAAATGAATGTGAGCCGGCACTGTTGCCTCCTCAGCCGCGGCATTTACTGCGTATTTTGCTCAAAAAATGTCTTCAAGTACACAAAAAACACCATGAAAACATGTTCACAAGGAATAATAACTTGATTTTCACCAAAGGCAGCTTTTAAATGTGTCCTTTTTGCTCTCCAGAGCAGCAACATCAGCTCTTTAAAGTGTCGCTCTTTCGAAAAAGATCTGAAATTTTTTTGTTTTTGTTGCTTAAAATCATTTTTCTAAATTCTCAGATGCAGTAATCTTCATTTTTTTTTAATATTGTTTCGAGATAATTCCATCAGTGTTGGAAACAAGTAGAACACACTTGAACCCACTGGCAAAGAGAACCTGGTTCGAGCTTGAATGGCCTGTCAAGATGGAAACTACGATGGTGTCTTGTGCAGACGAAGGCCCCCGAGGTCAGGATAAGTGCATCCTAAAGTGAGCGTGTGTTTTCAGATCCCGGTGGCGGAGCGAGGCGAGCTGGTGCGCCAGGGCGAGCTGACGGTGTGCGGAGGCGGCCGGAGGAAGCGGGCCGGCGTCAGGAACGTTTTCCTCTACCAGCACATGGTCATCTTCACCAAACAGAAGAGTCCTGGTCCGGGACGCACCGCCTACAGCTACAAGCACAGCGTCAAGGTACAGACTGCTGCTTTCTTTCCATTTCTCTGTGTTTGAAGAGTTACGTGGAAAACCTGTATTCTGTGTTAAATCTGAGGTGCTTGTATTTCCTGGCTGAGAAGACGCCGAAGACAAGATGCACACTTTGTACACTCTCTCTCCTCCGTACAGACCAGTGAGATGGGTCTGACTCAGAGCGTTGGTGAAGACGGACTGAAGTTCGAAGTTTGGGTCCGAACAGCTCTGAAAACCAAAGACTGCATTACGCTGCAAGCCCAGGACAGGGAAGGCAGGCAGGCCTGGACTCATGACATCGCTCATCTGCTGTGGACGCACGCCATCAACAACACAGGTACAGCCTGACCTCTAGGCGTCAAATCAAGACCCTTTAAATTGACATCGAACCCTGCTGTATAACAGTGCTGATGTATTAAAGGGAAAGCGCGCTGACATTTAACAGTGCCGATGCATGTGTAAAAAGAGTTGGATAAAACCTTTTGTAGCTCCAAAGGAAGCTGCGTGAAGTCTGACAGGTGACATAACTTGACATAACTCATCTCTGCATGAGGTTACATTAGCCTCTCTAACACGGCGCACAAATCTCCGGCAAAAACTGTCAGCTTTTAGATGCATTGTGCGTAATGTGGTCACCGAAGAATGCCTGAATAAAAAACAAGGATAAATTCTGATCCTTTAAGTGTACCGTGTGAGTAACATGTTGTCACGTCAGCTGCGGTGAAATATCACCTCGTCCTGATTTAATGGCATTTTCTTGGCACAAGTCGAGCATGCGATGAGTTTAAAGCAGGAAAACACACTAAACATGTGTCCACTGCAGAGGAAGAGGTTCAGTTTGTGATTCTTAGCCAATAGACTTTCGTTCAAATCCAACAAATTCAAAAAATCCTGGTGCAAGTGTTGAGTTTTGATAAAGACTGGATCGTGTAATAAAGCCAATCTTCCTGGTTCTTTCAATAAATTAACCTTTTAAATGACCTTTTCCTGTCAAAAAAGACTGTTTTAATGTTGTTATAATATCCATATGGTGTTTTTTTATATGATATAAGACACAACATGAGCAGAATAAGCAGCCAACGCCGTCAACCTGCAGCATATTGAGGTTTCATACATAATAAATGTAAGAAATCAATCCTGTTGACCTGCAGGGCTGAACTTTACGTAGCATTCTCCTTCTTCAGAATAATTTTCTGGCTTCAACATGTGTGGCTAAATTACGCCAGTGATTCAACTGGTCGGTGTGTAACGCAGCAGTAGTGAGCTGGTGTGCTCGAGCTGCAGCAAGTAGTGCAGATAGAGGTGGGGGCTTCATAGATCAAGAGGAAGAAATAGTGCTGAGTTACGTCGAAGACATTTCAAAGCTTCAAGGGATTATTTTTTATGAAAAAAGAACATCCATATGCAACTTGAATATTTGGGTGGTTTCTGGACGACTGCAGACAGACTTTAATGACGGTGCTCACCTCAGCACATGCAAATGTTCCACTGAAACACTCGAGTTCTCCCCCTCGACGCTGTTGTGCAGCAGCATCGGTGGCTGTGTGAGGCTTGTGCACAGGCCAGCAGGTAAATCTGGCAGCGACCAACTGTTAAAATATGCAACCAGCTCAATGTCAACACTCTCAGAGTCCACCTTTAAAGGGTAACGTCCCCATTTGTCAGCCCGACTCACCGCTTCTGTCATGCGGATGGGATCAGAAAACATGATTTAAGAGACGGTGGATGGAGTCATTTTATTTAGCGGTTTAGTTTTTTTATTTGTAGTTTACTATAAATGTGCTTGAGAGGATAAAGGCCACCGGTTCGGTTTAAGATTTTTGCAGACTAAACAAATCTGATTCGTCTTTGTGTAACTGTATCTGGGATGATAATTGCCTTTCCTGTGAGCACAGAACATATAAAAATATCACCGCCAGGCCACTTTGCCGTTTCATTTTTTTTTTTTTTTTTGCTCCTTTGCTTTTCAAACACAAGGAACTGCTGACTATCACATGTCTCCTTGTATGCATAAACTCTTGCATCTCAGCTTTGCTTCCTGTCGCTGGCTTAGATTACAGCATCACCTTGGAGAAGATGCTCTGCAGCTTGCTTAAAGAGGGGACATAGCTGTTCTTAAAGTGGCACCTGACTCCTGCCATCAATAAAAGTGACGATATCTGACTTTACTGTAATATGCCTTAAATGAGAATATGCAGTTGCTTCTGTTTTGGATTTACATTTTTACATTATTTCCCCTCTCTCCTCTCCCAGAGTTGTGTCTGAAGGAGTCTCTCTGCATGGGAATTTCCAGTAAGCTTCTGCTGGATGCAAGTGGAACTCAAGGTTCAGAGCTGGACTCCATCTACAGCCTCAACGACAGAGGTAGGCTCAAGAAGGAATACATCTGGAGCACATCTGCTGTACAGGAATTCAGTTTTAGGTCCAAACCAGCCATGTTTCAGAGCAAAAACTGTGCTGTCACTGCCATCACTTTGGATACTAACGATAAACAAACCATCTGCTGTAGACAAAGGGAAATATTCTGCTGCCTTCTTTGTTCATTTGACTAACTCTTCTATACTGTCGAGCAAAATGTGCTTCTACAAAGTTTACATGATGTTGGTTTTGACTCTATGTCATGTAGATGGTTTCAGGACGACCCGTTTTATCAACAGCAATGTGTGATTATAGGAAATGATTGCTCTGATTTGTTACACCTGTCAAAAGGAGTCCCACAGGGCTCAATCTGGGGTCCCATCCGGTTTATAGTTTACATCCACCATAACAAAATGGAACACCATTCAATACGTGGATGATACAGTTCTGTTTGCTAATACTGCAAAGTCAGCCACTGAAATCCTGCAACAAGCTTTTGACCAGTTAAAGACGCACTTTTTACTGTGAACAAGACCAAATACTCCTTTAGAGCTTCAGAGATATTGTGGACGACAGTTTGCACCGTGAGTGGACGGAGAGGGGATCTGTTCACATCAAAAACTTACATCACAATGACCCACCCTGCAGCAACCTACGACAGAAAAAAGGATATTTGTGCAGCTACTTTTCCCATGTTCAGTAGTAAGCAAATAATTGTGGCCGTCTTCTTGCCTGTATTAGATTATAGTGAAGTCATCCATAGACACGCCTCTGCCTCCACTCTGAAAGCCTTGATGCAGTTTAGCCCTCCGCTCTAAGATTCATTACTTGTGACAGTTATTCAACTCATCACTGCTTATTATATGAAAAAGTTGGCCGGCCATCTCTGGCAGGAAGACGTGACAGACATCAGTTTCTTGTTATTTATGAGAGCGGAAAGATGCCACCATACATAAATTCTTTGTTAAACTGCTCCCAAAGTCATAACTCCACATGTTCAAGCAATTAGCTAATATTTGAAGTCCCATGTGCACACACTGGATTTGGGAAAACTGCTTTTAGTTTCACACAGACTTAACACAACCATACCTGTTGTGCCTGTCCTCTCAGCACAACACAAAAGAGGACATGCCCTCAATGTTCCTCGATGTTTTAATAGAACAGAGCAGAATATAAACTCCAGAGATCAGTTCAGTGTTTTAGCTTAAACCACACAGCTCCACTAGTCACCTCACACACACAGAAACCATTTGTCAGCTCAAACTGTGTCTTCAGGACGTCGCTGGGTTTTATGTGACCAGATTGGATTACTGGATTGTTCAAATTTGCTCTGTGAGCCGAAAGTGATGTGGCCCCGAGATTACAGACAGGAAACAAAACGGGTCCTGGGTGTATCTCCCCATGTGACAAGGTAATAATGTGGTACATGTTTTTTTCAATCTCGCACCCCGAGGCTACTCTATGAATTTTTGATATTTGTCTCACACTGAGAAATTTTGAAGAGCTGTGACATGCCTGCGGAGAATATATAGCGCAGTCAAAAAGCTCAACTGTGGAAGCACATTTTACTTCTGCTCTGATCAAATCCCATCACAACCTCCACCGCTGTGTCTGCCTTTAACTGCTTTTAAGGCAGACGCAGGAGCGACAACCTTTGTCTTAATTTTGAAACTGTATCCTTAAACAATACATGCAGCCTACATGGGTGTTAAACAGCTACCATGGATTTCTTGTCCTTCTCTTAATCGTGTGTGGGTGATAAAGCAAAATTATGCTTGATGGATTTCTTATGCATCATGATGATATGACTACTATTAGTGGCACGATTACAAAACAATAATGCATTAATGCAAAATGATAGGTCCTGGAATCAGCTTTTCTCTCAGGTGAAAGTATAGAAATATTAACAAAATGTACTTAAAGTATTAAAAAGTGACAGTACTCATTACTTTTAGGGATTTTTTACTAACTGTGGGCTCATTTTTCACTGCAATATCAAGTCCTGCACCTCTACGGAAACAAGAAGAAGGGAGAGAATTCAGCTATAATGTCAGAAATCTTTTTTTCTTTAAAGTCTTTGATTATATATTTTTACAAAGGCACACATACAACACTTTGCCCACAGGTGTCCCCCACCAATACATGATAACTCTACACACTATAGATATTTTACTGCCTAATTGTTTAGTATGTCTCCATACTTGTCACCTATCTGCTCCGTGCAAACGCTGTCTGCAGTTCAGCCCAGTTAGGCCGACAAATCACTAAATTTTTCTGGCAGATATTCTTTTTTTTTTAGCTCTGTCTTCGTCAACTGCTGAGGGAAAATATCTGTAGCTCTTAAGCAGATAAAAGTTTGAATTTGTTCATAGGCTTTTGTCTAACTTTCTGATGTTTGGTGTCGTGCAGGAAGCATATTGTGGGATTTTAGGGTTTTGTCGGCCATAAAATGAAAACGCTGAGCTAAAAATGCCCTTTCGTAATATGTAATATGGGTTCTAACCCTATAACCCAGGCCTGTTGCTGTATTTCTAAATGCAAGTTTAAGCAGGGGCACAAGTTCAGAGAGAGCTTGTATGCAAAAACAGCCACAAACATTTAGAGGAAGAGACCCTCGACACAATAAGTTCACAACAGTTTCCACACAGTCATAAATCTACCTTTAAAATGCACATAATTACTAGAGAGGACCATGAACCAAGTTATGATCGTGCTCACAAAATCCCCAACACGATGGTAAATAAGGATATTACAAAATCTGATGGCTAAAGACAAGCGCCGTCCACAGAGATACGCCACAGAACAGTCGGATAAAAACACTTAATCTCGGTACAATTCCTCGGATTCCAGACCCACTATTCACTCTCCGAAGGCCGTTGTTGCCTCAGAGCCAAAGTGATTTGCCATTCATGGCTCGGTGCAATGCACATACTGCTCACCAGGTGTCTCATTGAGTGGCGCAGCTCAGGATTTCAATGCATGAATTGTCCTCTGGGACAGAACATGGTGTTAGAAATTCATTGAACAGGATGAGAAAAATGCCTTCTCACTCTGACTCCTCTCTTTGTCTCCGCCATACCTGATCTCCTCTTTCTTTTCAGTCCAGGAAAACATTATGATGTAGAGAATCTCACACCATAAACGTGCATTAATACAACACAATGCAATTTACTCAAAAATCCATGCATGTAAATTGTGCTTCCCTGCCGGACGGGGTTGTTATTCTGAAAAAGGAGAGCACGTCTGAATGATGTCTGACACTTGGTGCTATCTGTTAACCTGTAGCCATACTCTGTCTTTCTGTGTCTCAGTCCACAGTAGCTGCTCAGACTCCTCCTCTGTCGGCAGTCAGAAGGAGGGGGGATCCCCGGCGTCTGGGAGGGACCCCAGGAGAAGCTCTGGATCAACAAGCTACTCACAGGTGGGTCTGGAGAGTCCACATGTAACACACAATCCAGTGATGCCAAAGTGAATGGGAGCAGTTTGTATTTGCAGAAAACACTCAGCGAGGTTAAATATAGATGCGAGGTGATGAATGTGTTTTTCTTTTGGCGCTGGAAGCAGGGCCTCCTTTTCAGGCCAAAGGTTTTCCAGGAATCTTTGTATTTCTGTTGCATTTCCCCAAAAAAAGTCCCTCATAAACCTTCTGGGTCTGGTTTGTAATGCTGAGGCTGATTAAATACCAGCTTAAAAACAACTAAAACATGACAATATGTTTGTCTTAAATTAGTTTAAAATGAGGTTTAAACAAACGTGCAGCTAAGTGGATGTCAAGACACCACCGTGAACTGAGCTCTTTCTCATATTTCTTTACATCTCTCCACCACTGCTGTCTGATAAAGGCAAGATTTTTTTTTCTCCTTCATTTGATACCAGTCAGTACAATAGAGACGAGAAAGGAGGCGAGAGAAAGCAGGGATGATCCGCAGCAGAGGTTCCCAGCTGCACTCAAACCAGAGCCGGTGAAATCATATGGTCAGAGTCTTAGACACCAGATGCCTGAAATTTGTCATCTTCTAATCTGTTAGCAGTAATTTGCCTAATCCTCAAGACTAATTGTCTTTTTTTTTTTTTTTACATTTTTGGTGAGATGCATTCAAAACCCCAATGTTGGTTTGTAATTTTTCTAGCATTTGTTTTTTCCTCTTTCTCTTATATTGGTGCTCATCAATAGCTGCAGTCTGGACAAAGACCACCAGGATGCTGTTGAACAGGTGTAATCAGCCGGTCTCATTCTAATGTGCTTACAGAGCTTCACATTGTTCTGTCGCAGTCTAAAATATTCCCACACTTCAGATGATTGTGAGGTTTTATAGCTACAGCTTCTCTCTGGGTGCAGCCACCTTTTGCGACACGCAATTGATAAAGTCACGAGTGTTGTTCTCAAAAACTGCTCAACTAAACTACTTCACACTTGACACTGAACTTTCTTGGATCCCCGACGATACACCTGCCGAGTTTGGAGTGGATCACATGAGCGGATGCAGACAAACACAAAGACACACAAACACTTCTAATTGTCCCATCGGTGGATCTTCAATAACTTAAAGGCACATTAAGGACATGGACGAACAGGAGATCCCGTGAAGAGCTTAGCATGCAGGAACACAGGTGTATCCTACGCGGAGGTCTTTTATCAAGTAGCATGACGTATAAAAGCCGCACCTTGGTGGGCGTTGCTTTGATTCATACAGCTGTTCATAAGTCACTGGTGTCACTTGACGCTGTGGAACAAAGGATTCCTCATTTTGGCAGCACTGACTCCGTCGTCCTCGGATCGCTCTCACATCCTTGCTGGGAAGAGACGCGAGGCGAGGAGATACGTTAGCATAATGAAAAGCACCCAGAGACTCCTTCTTCTATTAGTGAGATTATATGTTATACATAGAAGATTTTTTTTTTTTTTGAAGCAAACAGGAGTTCACGAATGACACTTTTAATTACTGCTCCGGTCCCTGAGACTCGTTGGCTCCCACCACTGTTTGGATGAAATGATGAATAAAAATGTGTGGACTTTGGATGAAAATGTCACCATTTGTGTGCAACATATGTCTGTGATTAGTGGTGATGAAGCTGCTACACTTTCCCCCGAGGTGATGTATATATAAAAAAGGTGTCCTTCAAACAGTGGAAGCATTTCTATATGTTTATAAAAGTGAGAACACAATGCATACATCTAGCTGTAAGCAAACAGCAGTACCTGCCTGTCATCTCCATGGTAAGTTTAAATGAATTTGCTCTGTGCGCACACATATACAAACACACACACATCCTCTCAATCTCCTTATCTAGCAAACAGAATATGACAGATTGGCAAACAGACTGCGCTGGGAACAGATTGACAGACAGACGGACACACGCAGCCCAAACAGACAGTGCAAACACGCAGACAGCGATATGCACATATTCAACAACAGAGGGAGGATTGCCGCCTGTGCACGCGCACGTGCACGCCTCAGCGCGAACGCACACTTAAGTGCGGAATATAATATGTGACTGTTTCTTCCTCCACAGAGTCAGTCTCCCTCCACAGCTGTGTGACTGTCATCTCAATAAGAGTAAGTTTACTCTGATTATTACATGTTTCTTTCATGTTTTCTTCCTCTCTGTTGTCGATCTCTTTACATCTCCTGCTCATGTCACCCCGTCCTCTCTTTGTGGTGCTACACTTTTTTATTGATTCCTCGCTTTTTTTTTTTTTCTCATGAAAACATTCATAAAATGTGTAACTGTTAATGTTTTCTTCTCTGTCTGTAACTTTTTACATGCAGAAACTGGACTTTTTGAAGCTTTAAACATCTCCATTCCACCTCTGGGGGAGCCGAGCTGGAGTTCGAGGAGCAAAGGAGACAAAAGCGAGACCCTCCGACTCTGTTTGAACTTCTCCCACATGCTTGCTCTCCTTCCCCGTTTCCCCCCTTGTTCCCCTTCACCTCCTTAAAATAAATAAAATGCCAGCAGATTAGGCGGAGCAGCACAGCGCTGCTTTCTAAACCTCCCAGCTCTGATATGACCCCCCCAAAGAAAAGCTGCATCCAAAAAGGATCAAAACTGCCCTGTTTAAACCATGACAAGCACCAGCAGGGCTCTCTGCGCTCCGCCATTTTGGATCTGCCAGTCTCAGTTGCTGGCAGAGTCATTGACACCAAAGGCACTTCAGCCACACAGTGCGGCCATTGTCTGCCCCACGGCTCCCCACTAGGCCAAACCACTTGGTCTGAACCACTGACTGCCTGGCTGGCTGACTGTACGCATCACATGCTCCAGCATCTGATAATAAACAGGAAGTAATATGCAGGGCGTAAATCCACCGTAGGATTGCAGATTTAGAATGTATTATGTACTTTGTCATTTTCATAACGCTGAATGGAGTACTGTAGGCTTTATTTTCCTGCCTGTGTAAAAATGCGTGGCATAGCTAGGTGTGATTGCATCTATGTAAATTAGGCAAGGGTGGTGTGAGCATGCACACACACACACACACACACACACAGAGTGACACACACAATGTCCCCCCAACACATGCAGTCACTCTTATTGTTATAAGACAGTGGAGTACTGTTCACATTCACATGCTCACACAGTGGCCGTGGCCGGTTTAGAGCCTGGCACAGCGGCCACATCAACGACAGGCAAGGTTCCATCTGAACACGTACAGTAAAGCTTTGCCTTGATGAAGAACAGGAGTGATTTACACGATCATATCTGACTGCTATACAGTCTGTTCATGTGTTTGTTTAAGCTACTTGTTCTTATTAACAGTGGCAAGAATTTATAGGACAAAATGGTATTTAGTCTTCTTTAAAGTGTAACTTATATCAACAACATCTTGGTGCCTTAAAATGTTCTGCAGTGTACTGATAAGTTTTGATAATGAATTTAATGCCTTTCCTTTTTAATATAAGATGCCATAGTCTATATACCAAAGGTATAAAAAGGGTGTCTGTGCAATGCTGATGTGTGTACAAAGAGGTGTTGTTTTACATTCAGCCTCGGCGTTCCTGACTGGAACGCTGTCTCCATGAGATGGAGAAAGGTGGACCCGTTCAGCGTGATACATTGCAGTTTTACTGGTTTTGATCTCGCGGTCAGAAGACATGAACTACATCTGATTATTTTTGAAGAGGTAATTTAATCAAATCTGACCCTTTGCTTCTGCTTGAAGGAAGAGGTTTCCCCAGAATGCCCCCAAAAAGATTATTTTCAGCCTTTTTTAAAAAATTAATTTTGGGTTTCCAGCTTAGAAAAAAAAGTGCCTTAAATTATTGATATGATTCCTTGACCCTAAATTTTAGAGGAAAAAATGTCAAATATGAAAACAGTGGAAGCAGCCGGTTAGCTTAGCTTAGCATTACAATTCAGAACAGGGGGAAATAATTAGCCTGGCTCTGTGCAAAGATTACAAAAAGCCAAACAGTATTATGTTTCTGCAGCAGAAGCAGCTGCAGTTTCGGGACCACAGTTCTGGGACCCTTTAAAGGTTCTGCGATTTATAGTTATAAAGGTTCATTCCACCCAAATAGTACTAACAGAGTAGCTCGAGTTAAAGGTCGAAATGAAGGTGGAATCATACAGTGGCCTTTGTCACATCCGTAAAGAAATAAAACCTCTCCCTCTGATTGTCATCCATCTTGACCCACAGTGATCCTTTGTACAACACACCTCTCTCATAGTTATCACAAAACACAAGGGTACTAGAGATGTGGTCCTATAGCTGTGGCCCTGAATCTGCAGCCTCCTCCGCTGTACGCTGTGAATTATTTTAGGTTTGTTCCACTTAAAAACACCCTCGAAAGAACACCTCAACATAAGGTGTGAGTTCCTTATTTGACATGAAGAATTATCACCTGCAAGTGTTGAAAGTGTTTAATAAGGCAGACAACATGTGACTGCATCCAGCTTTAAAGTCAGTGTACAGAGGAAGGGACTGGATTCACTGTGAACCTTCCTCATGGTTTGCACTGTGTTCACCAGGATTTAGTACATCTCAAATGACACAAAGCAAGTTTTCATTGTGGATTCTTCAGGCTACAAACAAAGTGTCTCAGGAGAGAGACTTGAAACAATGCATGCTGGGAAGTGTGCAAACATTCCTGTTTGGCTTCTTTAATACTTTGATTAATTGAGCTGATCAGATTAAGTCCAATGACCTTAAATCCAACAACTACAGTTGGATTTACTTGAAATGAACAAAACTTTTGTCTTTACATGAAATTAGCAAAAAAAAATATGAGTTCATTCCATTAAATTCCTGTCAGAGTTCTCATTATTGGCTGTTAGCTCGAGAGGGTTAGCGACGCCGGACATATTAATTTTAATAATCTGAAAACATTTGAAGAACTGAAAAAAGGTTCATTTGTTGCTGCCTTTGCAAGTTAGACATTTTGTAAAATACACTTGCTTGTTGACGGTTCTCATGTCTGTAATGGCAAAACTACAGTCAAGAGGTTAGCTTAGCTTAGCATAAAGCTACGAAATGATGGGGACTAGCTAGTTTAGCTCTGTCACAGGGTACAACTGTTGTTTCACTTTCACTTTAGACACTTTAAATGGACCAAAGGAGAAATATTGTGTTAATTAATGAGCTTTAGAAAGGTTAATTCACAATATTCCCCCTGCTGTCAGTGTTTATGCTAATGCAAGCTAACCGGCTGCTAGCTGTAGCATCGTATTTAACCTACAGACGACAGGATGGCATCAGGCTTTGGAGCTAACTTTTACAGAGAATAACTGCAATCCCTAAAATGCCCAACTTTTCCTTTAAGATGTCATATCTCATGGAACAAGAGTTAAAAATAACTCCCACTTCCTCAACTTCTCTCCCAGACTTGCTAGAGGGCCCGTGAATAGAAACGCTGCTGAGCTCTGTTCAGACTCTCACAACTTGAAATGAATTACAAGAAAACATATAGAGAATAGGTGCATGGGATGTGGAGAACTTGTCATTTAGTGTTGTATTAGTATTTCAATATTTCATACCATGATGTAGTTAATATTTTATGACGGCGAGCGTATAGTCGGTAAAGCCAATAATCACGCAGTCACTGGTCTGATTGGACGGCATGCGTATCAAACAATACCATGCTTAAGGTACAATATGAAACCTGCAGGTAGTGAAAGCCGGCAGCAGCGGGAGGTCAAGCTCATGTCTGCAGCGGCAGCAGTTTGTCGCTGTTATCAGATTTAGCACGTTTCATATCTGCATCCAAATTCAGAAATTGCAAATGGCTATTGAGCCGTTTCTGAATCAATATGTAATTTGTTGGCGTGGAGAAGTCTGTACACTTCATAGCCGTTAGCTGTTTGGTACATTGCGTTATATTGGAAGCAATGTAATGAACACCATCTTTCATTCTCACTGCGGTATAGATTGTCATATGCAGAATTATTTCTTTTTTTTGTGTGTGTGTGTATAAACGCCATTTGGAGGCAGTATTAATGTATAGAAACTTTTCCTCTCCCTGCTCCTCGGACACACTCTGCCTGATGTTTACATTTTTGGGAAGCGATGTGGGAACGTGGGGGAAACGCATGTCACTTGATGATTGTTTTGTACTTTTCTGTGTCGAATTAAAACTGGATTGAAGTTGCGAGCGGATCCGAGGGCGGGCCGTGCTTGAACCTTGCCGCGGGTCCGACCTCCAAACGAGGCCCGTAACCCCCCGAAACCGGCTGTAATGAGCGCCGGGGTCTCTTCCCTGAACGCCAGCTGTGCCGCCGCCCTCACACGAGAAAGAAAAAAAAAAAAACACACACACAACCCAGAATGATTAGATAACTACAGTGCAGCGCCATATCAAATAGTTCCAGGGATCAAATTCTCTAAAGGGAAGGGAGGGCAGTTTGAGAGTGTGTGTCCATCTGTGCATGTGAGGGAGGAATGAGAGATAAAGGGGTGGGTGAGGGAGAGGCGGGGGAGCAACAGGAAGGGGCAGAACTGAGGGAGAGAGAAAGGGAGCGACGGAGGAGAAGGACAGGAGACAGTAGGTGGGAATGATGGGAAATGAGCGAGGGCGAAGGGGCAGACAGACAGAGAGGCACAGTCAAGGGGAGAGCAGGAGCACGAGGGGGAGAAAAAAAAAAAACGAGAGGAAGAATAGCGAGGGGGGCTTATAGAAAGAGGGAGACACAAAGTAGAGTTAGAACTTTTTTTTTTCTAATGTAGAGAACTAAGAGAGGGCCGAGAGAGCTGCAGAATGGATGAAGGAGAGAGAGCGAGCGGGGTAAAAGGGGGGATGTTGACAAAGCAGCGAGACTGTGGCGAACAAAGAGAACGTGAAGAGAATGAGTCGGGGGAAACATCAAAGGGATTTTTCAGGCCCGGTTACCGGGACAACAGACATTTGCATGCGATTAGCTTTTTACATCATATTAAGAAGGGTTAGGGTGAGGGAGGGAGGACGGGGTGGGAGGGGGGGGGAGGGGGGAGGCAGGGAACTATAGATCATACACACACACTGTATGAGATAGTCAGAGAGGGAAGGGAAAAAAAAGAAAGAGAAAGAAAAAGAGGGACGTTGGTCATCTCACGCGGATAAACTGACTTATAGGCAGCCAGCCAAGCGTTTCTTTTGTAAATGAGAGTGCATGTTGGGGGGAGATACAGTAATATGCCAGCGCAGACATTTTGGCGAAGGAAGGTCAGAGCAGGGAGTGTGTGTGTGTTTTTTTTAATTTCATTTCTTTCTTTCTTTCCCCCCTCCTTGCTTTCTGAATCCAACTTTGACACCAGTGATTTTGAAGCACCGACAAACAATCTTGCACCAAAAACAAACCGGTGAACCCTGATTCCAGGTTTACAGCGTGTCCGGAGACCAGCAGCACATCCTCACATAAAAGCGCTCCTTCCTTTATGTGCTCTTCTTAACTTTAGAAACTCATCAGATAAGCGGGAGGAACGGCTCATGGAAAGGTGGCGTTTTTGTAGATTTTTACAGCACAAAATGCAATAAACACATTAGCATTCTTGAAAACAGATGAATGAATGTCACATCCTGGTGCACGCAGGCTTCCTGTGTCTAGACGCACATACATTTATATATATATACAGCTATAAACAGTCATCATCATCCAACATGGATTCACATAAACACCGTGTTGTTTGCACACATACACTGCATACATCACTCGGTCAAAAAAAACAACAACAACAAAAAAAACAACACACCTCACACAACCTTCCCTGCAATCATAAAAGCCATTAAACATGTTTCTATGGGCACACACCCTCCGGCATTTTACACATGTAATATTATCCCTCCATATCTCTCCTCCACCTCCCTCCTTCATTCCTTCCGTCCCTCCCTCGCTCCTGTCTCTCCATCAATCCACGTCC